GAAAATCTCCCAACTGATTTATAAATACTGAGCTTCTGGAAATACAACAAATAAAAAGCCAGAGGTCATTGCTGGCTACAGACTACTACCATCGGGGCATCTTCATGGCATGGCCAGAAAACATCTCATGGGCTTACATGCTGGGCACTCCAGTTAGCAAAGTCCCGGAGAGGGGAAACCAGAACAGTCAAGCTTTATTCAATGTAGGTTTCAGGCTTGAAGTTCGGGAATTGGGGGAGGTTTAGTCATTTATTTTTGAGCTCATGGAAAGAAGGGGTTGATAGCGACAGCTCACCCCAGTTAGCAGGCAGGCTCCCCACACAGCTGTGCTGGCCTATTTCAATTACGATCCTTTAGGACTGAGATCACCTCTGGTATGCCAGTCCTAAGCCGCTCATGAGCCAGTACTGCCAATCAAGCCGAAATTCAACCACATGGTATGGTTGTTATGATGTAGACAGAAAATGACATGGACTTGTCTCATTCTGGTGAAAACATAAAGTCTGAAGCCAGCTCTCTAGAAGAAAAAAGTTAGTGAAAATGGCAAGACTGCAAAACTTAATTTAGACACATTTTCCTGCCATTATCTCATCACAATTAACCAGTAGGTTATTCATGATGATTCAAGGAATGCTCTCACTAAAAAAAAAGACAGTGCTTTTCATGCTATGAGGAGGTCTCTTTTGAGTCACCCTGCTCATGAGAACACAAGAACCCATATACTATGTATAATGAGGGGAGGGTAGAATAAAACTTAAATAATTAGATGGGAGAAACTTAAATAATCAGACCTGGAACCTGAAATAGACACATTCAAAGCAGAGTTGTCACTGGACCAAAGAAACTGAACTATACATATCAAGTTAGAAAACACCAAATATGTATGTGGAGAATTAGAGAACTATGTGATAATCTCCGTAAGTTCTTTCTTCTCTTAATTTAGTTCAACAACAGTTATGATGCCTATATATACACAAGATACTCTACTAGTTGTTGCAGAAAATACAGAAATTCACAGGACACTGTATCTTTTTCTGAAATTACTTTAAATTATATTTTCATTAAGCTATTATAAAGGGGAGAATCAAAACACCAGATCACGTCTCATCCAAATATAAATCCTGTGCCAAATTCACCAATGTAAACTGGGTTAAAAAAATGAGTTCCAAGTCTAAGGGTTAACCACACTTTACTGATTAAAATTGCACAAATTAAATCTCCTTCAATTTTGTTATAAGGATATAAGGATAAAGTTTGTGCTGCTCCTAAGTTTGAGTAACAGCCTACCCCATGACATGCTAGAGAAGTGTTTTCTAGCTTAGTCATGCATATTGATAAAGAGGAATCAATATGTATTAACACTTACTGAAATGCACGGATACATTAATTTTTCATTCTCTCACAAGTCTTCAAAGTCCATGTCGTTTTTCAAGGAAGAAAATTCCTGGTGTAATAGGATTCTTTTGTAGTTCACTAGTGACCACTATTGGACATACTTGCCTCAACTTATATAAAGCAATAGAACTGGTTCACATGAAAAGAATAACGGAGACCAGAAAGTGGTCTTGAACAGACCAGACACTAAAAACAGAAGCCTGAGAAAACAAAAATGCAGCTGACCATGTCTAGACAAGAAACTTTGCAAAAACACGAAGACAATAATGTTAAAAGAAATGCCTCACTGTTTTGCAGATTTATGTAAAAAAATCCTTAAGTTTGATTTAAAGACAATCTAGGCATGATAATAAACAATAGGTATAAAAAGGTGTTTGTGCACACACACACACACACACACACACACACCTCTTATTGGAGCAGACCACAGTGTGCTGTAAATAAGGGATTTAACATTCATTCCACAAGCTAATGGTGCTTCTAGCCATCCAAGATTGATCCACTTAGATAATAGTGGAGGAGAGTGCCAGAGTGACTGAAGGGAATGGGCTATTGTGTTTGACTAGTTTCCATGTATAAATTAGTGCAGAGAAGAAAAAGAAATTCAACAGGAAAACACATGTACTTTATTATAATTCTGAGTGTTACTCTTGCAACTCCCACAATAGCAGGCGAAAGAGCTTAAAACCACTTAAAAGAAACAAAAAGCAAATGCAAATTTGGTTAAATGCCTTTCTGACAAGAAGTGATTTGACTTCAAGTTTAGATGGACACATATGTCAATGGCTGGTCATGGTTTCTGGCACATTCCTTTTGAGCTACACAATTGGGACAAAAAAGAAAAGGAGAATGAAAAAGGAAAGCAGGGTGGGAAGATGTGGAAAGTTGGGTTATGTGGCTTCATTTGACCTGAATATCAGGATGAAAACCTTTTGGTCAGTACTACTGTCCTACTGTGTCCAGAATAAAAATTAAGTCCATGGTGTATGAGCTTTGCATGAAAGTATGGGTGGTAACCTAAACTAGATACAATAGACACAGGGACTGCATTCTCTCAGGAACAATGCTCCAGATAAAAAGGGCTTTGGTGAACCACATTCGAGGTTTGTACACACGAAGCAAGGCATGATACGATGATTCAACTGCCAGTGATAGAAGGCTGTTTTGAAGTAGAAACTGGCTTGCCGCTAAAACAGAGTGTTTTGCAACTAAGTTAAAGGGATCTTTCAAAATTGCTTAAATTAATTCTAAGAGTAGACAGACTCTTGTATAAAAGAACTACAGAAAAAAAAAATACAAGGCAACCAGTTCAATTTTTCTATCTAGACTGAGGGTTGAGTTGACAATGTCACACTTCTAGTTCTAAGTCAACTAAAGATCAGTCTAAAGGTTACCTTCACTTAGGCCAGTAATTTAATTTTAGCTACAAAGCTAAAGGAGGCAGTTAATGAGCAAATGTAACAACTGTGCATAATATTGTACACATCTTTAATGGCCAAGATGATGCAAAAAGCCTACGTATCTCAAAGTCCAAAGATCAGCATATGCCATTGATTCCATCATTGCTACATAATTTATAACGACAGTAAAAAGCAAACAAGTTATGTTCTCTCCGTTATGTGTTGATTTGGGGACTCAAATATAAGCGTATTCCCTTATCTCTAAAATGGGTTTTAAAATGTCTTATTTGCAAGTTTATTGTGTGGATGCTTTGTAATGCTTTTCAAACCACCGGCCTAGTGTTTGGCCCTTTCAGACACACAGGACCCGGCACAGGGGCGTATGTTGGCACTTGCCAGTTCTCTTTTTTTTCTACCATAACTCTCAGGACCCCTGTGCATTTAAATACAGGTATGAAACAAACCTGGATTTGATTTCATTTTATCCTCAATACAATCATTGTAATTGAAACAAAATATGTTTTATGTTTTAAACCTGAAATAAGTCTCATTATGTGCTCAAATACAAATATGAATAGTCAAGATATCAAAGAGGGAATATAATGCATTTACCAAATGGGTAGTAGCAAAACAATCTATTTCTGAATGGGAAAGTTTTTTTCCAATGTAAAATGAGATCATACTTCATATGGAAGATACCAAAAAAGTAATGTGTACTGGTAATTTGCTTCATGATATAATTAGAAGGGAACATAACACATGCTTTTAAAAAATCACAAAGAAAAAAAAAGACGAGGCAACCTAATGGTGTGTATGTAAGTAACACGTCCCATATGGAAAAAATGAGACACCTTTCATAAATTGCTTGCTTCAGTAGTCATAAAGCACACCTAGGCATTCTGCTTTTTATATTCCTCCAAACAGCTAAAACTTCAGTCCATTCATGCCTAAAATTCAGTTCTCCTTTAACTTTTCAAGAAATCTTAAAAATACATTTCTATATTTATAGCCTTTGCAATGTAGCATTATGATTTCTTGGCGACAATGATGCAAATAAGTGGAAATGTATAAAATTGTTAATCACTGTCTGATTACTCTATCTGATGAATCTTCAATTTGTACCAAATGGCTTACTTCCCTTCTTCATAATTATAGTGCAGATCAAATTTGTCAGAGTGTAATCAGAACAAAACATTCCTTCATCATTGACGAATCAATGCAACCTACATAATTCGCTGCCTGTTTACCTTGTCCCCCCCTGGCCTTGTTGCCTCCTGAGGAAGTGTGGGCATCCATAAATGTCACAGGGAGAGCTACAATCACGTTTGTTTGGAATCAGTGTGTGCAAATTTTGGAATCAAACCTTCAGATGAGGTTTACTAAGCTGCCTGCCCAGAACACTCTGGTTTAAAAAATGTGCATTGCTATTAATATTTTGAGTGTAGATTTTTTTTGGACAGTAAATGTTCATTTTCTGCCCATAAAACCAAGTATGAGTCACAATGGAACATTTACTTTGAGTCAAAAATGCAGAGTGTGCTGATGTTCCAGAGCAGAGCATCTTATCACTGCGACTATGGAGAGCAGCCGTACAGAAAGTCAGCATTTTCTTCTTCTTCAAAAGCAGATCTGAGATCAAAGACCATAATCCTCAATTCATAAATAGCAGCATTAACTTGTATCCATACATGACTTGGAGTAATTATGAGCTATAATCTGGGTTGGCTGCAAAGAGGCGCTCGTTCCCTCTTTTACCTGGTTCCGCCGCACATGCTCACAGAGGGAAAAGAGTTCCTAACGGCAGTGGGGGAAAGCCCCTCATAGCCCATCCTTCAAAAAATTCCGGGAACACAGCAGTGAGTGAGTGATCTGAGGACGCCTGTCATCCAAATTCCAAGCATACACACCATCATTTGTACAGTCCCCAGCTCGCAAACTCTGTGCAGTCTATCCCAAAGTTCGTGTCTCGATATTATTATAGACCTCTCACTGATCCCACAACGTCTGGCAGACTTTATTTTGCTTGAGAAGTTGGGGTTAAAGTTCTGAAAGAATTTTTTTTTTAAGCATGTAAATTATTTTACCTGGCGTTTGAAGATCAAGATATACTCCCCCCCACCCCCGACACACACACACATACACGGCACCCCAACAGCACCCAGACTAAATGGCAATAGCAATGTATAAAAAGGAAAAGGCATTTACCAGGAGCAGGAAAGCCAGAAAGAGGAGCGGTGTGCCAGGAGTTGCCCGACGGCAGCATTCCATGCTTGGATCCTTGCCGGAATCCGGATCGGACACTGAATAAGCTGCTAAGTGCTCCTCTGCCTGCTGTCACATCCAGTCCTGGTGCTAACACTCCAGCCCTGCCTATCAGCTTCCATCAGCCCCGCTCACATTTCCTGACTAGGGGTGGGTGGGTAGGTGGATGGGTGGGGGGTAAGCTGAATGGAATCTCTCTCGGAGCAGGCAGCCAGCCAATCAGGCTCCTGCTAATCAGACATGCTGAATAACAAAGCCAGGGGGACAGAGAAAGTGTAACAGTGCGAGCAAAAAAGAGAAGGGGAAAAGGACGAAAAAGAAAGGAGAGCAGAGCACGCAGCAGAGCCAGGAGAGAAATGCAAAAGATGCAGAACTGCAGACGATGAAGCCAAGCCCTGTGCTATGAACTAACCTGGTTAGTTCTTTGTGAGATACATTTCTGTTTTGCCATTTGCTTGTGCTGATGCCTGTGGCTTTGTAAAGTACAGTAGCTCCCTGTGACTCTGTATTGTTCCATTCAGGAGAGAAACTTAATCCCTGTCAATATATAACATATGCCATAAAGGGAGAGAATCATAGACAAAACCTGACTTAATGTGCCCTTTAAATGTGTGCTGTACAACGGCTTTATTCCTCTTCCATAAAGTTGCTCTTTATTTTCCCCCTTGACTTGGAGAAGGGAGACTATATAAATTTTTGAAAGTTACTCCCTAAACCTAAATAGTGGCATAAGTTACTTAGTGTATTGACTTGATCTAAAAAAAAAAAAAAATGGAAGCTGATTCTTTGCAAAGTGACAATTTTAAACACCCAAGATTTACTAAGGCTAAAGGCACAATTAGAAATTTAGATCCACTCGTTTAAAAAGAAGACCTTAACAAAGGCAGGGATGACTGGCACTGAAATTTGAGGTTGAAGAACAGTCTGCTTTTGACACATGGCCAACTCTCAACTGTCTGCGTTAGGAGGGGAGAGAAAAAAAAGGATGAATTAAATCCTCAGTTAATCCCCAAACCTTTTAACCGACAGTTTCAGCCTCCTCCTTCGTGTCCTTCATCAGAGCTGCTGTAATGCAGCAGAAAAGGCTGAAGTGAGTTTTGCCTCCTTTTCCTCTCCCTCCTGCAGTGGATGGAGAGATGACCCTCCAGGTCCAGCCCAGCCTGGAGGAAGTGCTAACAAGCAGTGAAATGATGACAAGGCCAAGGGAAGGGCAGGAAGCTTCTGAGTCCTGTTAATCCACCAGCGAGCAAGATTTCACTCTACCAGAGGGGATTTTATTACAGTTTTAGGAAAATGTCAAGTGTCCAACAAGGACGTCTTTCTCCTTATCTGCTAAGGAAATCACTGGGTTTTTGAAAGAATGAAATAGCAAACTTGGCCTTACATTTCCATAGGTGGGTCGCCAGGAAGTTTTTCCTTTGTAGATCTCTTGATAGGCTATATATATAGGGTAGAAGACACTTAGGACTAATGTTCTTTCCTTTCGTTAATAAAAAAAAAAATACCGACAAGAGGCATGAAACACACAAATACGGAAAACCTGATGAAGCCATAGTAGGCATGTGAATACAGGCAGGTCTGCCTATATACAGATCTGCAGTGCTGCTTTGCAGAAAGGTGAGGAAAAGCAGGTTGTTCAACTTCAGGCTACTGGGTTTTCCTATGACATATCAATTAAAGACAGCAGAGCTTTAAAATTCCCATTTTTAACCTGTGAGGAAAGTCAAGGGCATACAAGGATTCCCCTTCTCTTCACCTAGGAAAATGGATAGTACTAATCCATACCACAGAGGCTCTGTTCCTAAAGTGTGATTTTCTCTTTCACAAAGATTCATTTCGCGAGTCTTTCAAAAATTGGTGAAGGCTCATAAGCTGAAGAGTATTCGTGAGTAATTGTAAAAATACTTGAATGGTGTGATCTGAAGTCTTTATCATATTAAAAACGGATTGATTGAAATAACCTTTCATTTATGAAGCTATGTTACATCTCTCTCTTTTACACATTAGAGCTTTCTGCCACTGGGTTTTTTCTTCTATCAGTTACTAGCTGTAGAGTTCCAACTAGTTATGTAAAAATAAAAAAAATAAAAAAAGGAATATTTTATCTCCCTCCTCACACCTAAACTTCACTCATGAGGCAGGTCAATAGGGCAGAAGAGGTGGTGGAGAAGGAATAATAGCAAGAATGGTAATAGTACAATACCATTTGTAGAAGAATAGAAAAAATTGGTATGATAAGAGAATAACTGGTAGCCACTTATATGCTAGTCTAGATTCCTTCCTGCTTTGGAAATAAATATTGTCTAGATCAGGGGTGGGCAAACTTTTTGACTCAAGGGCCACAATGGGTTCTTAAACTGGACCGGAGGGCCGGAACAAAAGCATGGATGGAGTGTTTGTGTGAACTAATATAAATTCAAAGTAAACATCATTACATAAAAGGGTACGGTCTTCTTTTTTTTAGTTTTATTCATTTCAAACGGGCCACATCTTGCCTGTGGGCCGTAGTTTGCCCACGGCTGGTCTAGATGGTCGAGTCAGAGATTTCCTTAGGCTTTGATGGACATGTCAATGTACAGCAAGACGGTCACCACCACCTCCACTTTATAGTAGAATATTTTTTAAGTCAAGCTCTAAATCATTTCTGACTGTCAGGAGGATGCCCACCACAGTGTCTCATGCTCCTGGTCCCTATGCTTGTAGCATTTCCTTTCTGGGTGGGGGATGCCCCTAGAAATGAGGGAAAGCAGTTGCACAGTCAAGCATTAAGCATTCTAGGGCAAACAAGCTTACTGTTACTTCAGAAATAGGAGAACAAAACCAACGTGTGTTAGGGTGATGGAGGTGAATTTCTGGTATGGTGAATTTTGATAACTAGCGAAGTTTATGTGGTATCTTTAAAGTTTACAAAATGATTTTACACCCGCAATCTCATTCGACCTTTATGACTACTCTGTGAAGTTAGTTAAGTAACTCACCCCATTTTATGTGAAAACTGAGGCTCTAAGAGGTGAAGTGACTCGCCTCAGGCTCCACTGGCTGGAACTGGCCTTTGAAAGAGGCCTTCTGACTTGTACTCTCTCATCATTTATATGTACTCATCCATGCGCGCGCGCGTGTGTGTGTGTGTGTGTGTGTGCGTGTGTTGGTAGTGGTGTCATAGTGGTTGGAGGGGATCGTTTATAGTGAAGGCAAGGGGGCAGGAGGCAGGCTACCCAGGTTTACCATAGGCCCACACTACCTGAGAATAGAAAGTATCTCATATTAGGGTATAACTTCTCTGTCTCCTCTCTTTGTCATTTCTAAAACCTTTATCAGAACCGAGGAAAAATAACATCAAACCCTAGGTAATCTAGCTCCATGCTAACGGCAGCCTGGGAAAGGCCTCTTATGGCATGTGAGCAGGGCGTTGGCCGAGTTCCTTTTTTCCTCTTCAGGTATCTAAATTAAAGCCGTCTGCCAGTGTCTGAGCAGCAGCAGCAGCGGCAGCAGCAACCCCGGCTGCCGTAACACTGGTTACCGGCTCCCTGCACAATGTATTAGGTGAAATGAAAGCAGAAGCAAGAGTGTCAGGGCTGTCTGAAGCATCATTCCAAATGGTATGGATTTAACAATCCTTAATTTAAAAAACACCAGCTTGGACAGGAGCAAGCTGTTAACATTCAGTGTGCTTTATGGCAGGAAAGAGGGAGCTAAACTCTCGGAATTTCTCTCCCTGGGGAGAGTACATTACAGTGTTCACGCTGGAGCCACCTGTCTCTTCCTGAGGTTGGGCCTTCTCACATGGCCCGCCAGTTGAGTAACTGGGGTAAAGAGGGCAGAGGGTCTTCTGGAAAGAACTCAGGGGTGGGGAGCATGACGAGCCGGGTAAGGCCTCATCTCCCCTCTTGAAAGAGGTGGTTATGGTGGCACCTGCGCCTTACTGTCCTCACGGGCATGCATGGAAGTTGTCCGATTTCCCTAGCTAATTCTGAAAATTAAAGGGCGGAAAAATGGTGTGCGAATGAATAAGATAAAACTACAGGAAGCTGACTGCTGGTCTCAGGGACAGAGCTGGAATTTGAGCAGGTGACTGTAGCTCTCCAATTCACCTAATACCCAGTTAGCACACAAGCGATTGGAGTGTTTGCTAAAATTTTCAAATCATCTTTCACACATAACCTAGTGTAATATAAGCAGAAACTCTATAAGGTAGAGAGTAATTATTACCCTCAATTATTGATGAGGAAAATAGTGCTTTTATAATAAGTAGGCTCATCAAAGTTACTTATTAGCAGGTGAAAAATTGGACTGTATCTAAGTGGTTTGACTTTGACCTGGACAACTCTCTGAAAAGTTGATGAGAATCGTTACATTTATTGAGTCTTTCACATGCCAGGCATTGTTCTAACTTTATAGCTATTATTTCTTTTAATTATCACAACAACTCTACAATATCTGTATACTTATTATCCCCATATGGATGTTATTTATGGCAGATCAGCATCCACATTCACCCCAACCAGTGCCCTCCTGAAACAGAGGCCAGAAACCAAGAAGCTACATTTCCCAGACTCCCTTGCAGCTAAGGCATTGGATGTAACTTAGATTTGGCCACTCAGAAACACTTCCATAATATTTGGAAGGTGAAAGTGAGAAAGAGACCACACTTTGCTCTTTTGCTTATAAAAATGACTACAGAGTAATGTGCTTTGTCTGCAGTCATGCTAGCCATTCACTACATTTGTAGGTGGCAAGAGGCAGTTCTAGATGGATCAAAGAATGTGGGCAAGGTTCTTAAAGCCCTTGCATTTCCATTCAGCAGGGGACTTCCTGGTTATGCAAGAGGCAGCTGCTCCTATGGTGATCTGTTGCTGTAGAGTAGCATGGGAGTCTTCAAAAAGTTCAAACCAGAGACTTTTTCCAGTTTTCTATTAGTTGATTAACACCCCATATACTAGAGGCCTGGCTCACCATTTCTTGCACGGGTGGGGTCTGGCCAGACCACCTGCCGACGAGGGCAGTTGGCCAACTGACCCCATCCCTGGGGGGGTAAGGGGACTCAGTAGGTTGGCAGGCCAGCCCTGCCTCCTGGTCAAACTCCAGTCAAACTCCAGGTTGAGGGTACAGTTTGCATATTACCCTTTTATTATATAGTATTAGCAAGGATATATTCTGTTCTCTGGAACAGAATACTTGACTGATATACCCCCTTTAACAAAGGAGAAAATTGGGGCCCATAGAATTAAATAACTTGCCTAAGATCACATACCCAGAGA